AAAAAAATGCAATATGATGGACTTATATATGAACTTTAGGAACACAGTTCATTACCAATATGGAAACTGCCTACACAAACAGGTAGAAACAGGTAGGTAATGTTAATGATCAACCTTCAGTAGACCAAATAGTCTTAAGTTTTTCAAATGGGGAGAAGAAATTTATTTGATTTTAATTTAAATAGAAAACTCAATTTCATTATGAAAAAACTTTTAAGTATGTTTGTGGCAACTTGGTTATATGCATCTACTACTTCAACTAAATTTTATAAAATCTAATTACAGAAAAAGCACTTCCAATAAAAATTTGGTGTCAAAATTGAGATGCATGGTGTGTATAAAATACACATTAGATTTCAAACAGTACAAATGAAAAAAGTAAAACATCTCATTAGTAATTTTTATATTAATAATATGTTAACATACAAATATTTTGGATATAGTATTAGGTTAAATAAAATACATGATTTAAATGAATTTCACCTGTTTCTTTTACTTTTTAAAAAACTTGGCTACTTGGAAAACTTTAAATATGTGGGTCATGTTACACTTCTGTTGGATAGCATTACTCTAGACCAGTGGTTCTCAAAACTTGACTATCTCCAACAGCATCACCTGGGAACTTGTTAGAAATGCAAATCATGGAGCTCCACCTCCAACTTACTGAATCAGAGACCCTGGGGGTGGGTTCCTGCTTTAATGAGCCCCGCAACTGATCCTGATGCAAGCAAAAGTGTAAGAACCATTCTTCTAGACCAGGGGTACAGAATTCTACTTTGGCTGCAAATTAGAATCATCTGGGGACCTTGGGCATAAAATCCAGGTACTAAAGCTACCACCCAGACCAATGAAATCAACAACCTTGGGTCCAGTCAAAAGTGTTTCTAAAGCTCTCCAGGGGATTCTAATATGGGAGAAAGATTGAAAACCACTGGCCATGATCCATGATTTTTAAACTGTGCTCTTCAGAGGGGCTGTAGCTGGCTGGACCACGTTCTCCTTTCAGCTTCCGATGTGTCTGCTCGCTTTCCTGACCTGTTCATCCTGGAAAGGCAGCCGCTGTGGTGATTTTCCTGGTGGATGGAGAGATACAGGGCTTGGATGGGCAAGAAGGCTTTACAGGTATCAGAAGTTCACATTTCAAATATATCTACCTACATGCGTCAGTTATGCCTGTTACATTAAATGGCTATATTAGTGGGCTTTCACCAGATTCACAGGAGAATAAACCTGGAATTAGACAGCAGAAAGTGTAAAAGCTTTGACAGAGCAGAGATGAAGAAGAGTCTTCCTTTTAACATTATTATTTTGGGTAGTTTTTTTTTTTTTTTTTTTTTTTTTTTTTTTTTTTTTTTTTTTTTTTTTTTTTTTTTTTACGTGGGCCTGTCACTGTTGTGGCCTCTCCCGTTGCGGAACACAGGCTCCGGACACGCAGGCCCAGCGGCCATGGCTCACGGGCCCAGCCGCTCCGCGGCACGTGGGATCTTCCCAGACCGGGGCATGAACCCGCGTCCCCTGCATCGGCAGGCGGACCCTCAACCACTGCGCCACCAGGGAAGCCCTATTTTGGGTAGTTTTTTTAGGGAGGAACTTTATCTTTGTACACCGCTACAGTAACTGGCAGGCAGTAACTGGCAGGCAGTACTGCAATCAGTTGCTGACTTCCACTGGGGGCTTGGATTCCACGGGGTTCTATCAGTGGTGCTAATAGAGATATTTCTATTCTCCAGTACCATGGAGATTACTCCTCTTAAGTTGCCCTAATGGTCGGTTTTCTTGCTGTAGAAAAGCTAAAAACATTGGTAAATCCAGTCAATGTAACCTTCAAAACCCAGTTCATGTCACCAGGAAATGACAGATATCAAGCAATTCATTGGTAAACTCCCACCTCCAGTTGATTGACATTAAGAGGCCTTGTGGAAAAGTACCCAGCATCATTGTAGTAGAGTACAAACTTTTTCCAGTGCCCCATCTTGAAACTTCTAATGTTTGCAGTGTTAAAATGTTTTGCAAATACATACCATGACACAGACTAAATAATGTCTCCTCATGGGAAATTTATGATCTTATAAGTTTCTATACATGTATAATATGATCCAGACTATACTAGTATTGAAATAGGTGAAACAGCTAGCTTCTTTTTCCCAAATGTAATTCAGCCAAATACTGCAAGCAGATTTTTTATTACATCATTTGAAAATTATTAGCATGCTTAATGAAAACGTTCAGGTATAAAGGAACAGTTAAGATATAAGTGATTTATGCATGTTCTGACTTAGTCTATAGATTTATTCCCAAATGACGAAGTCACCATGCAGTATCTGTATTTTTATGTTTTCATCTATATTTAATGATTGTAATATATACTAAGAATGAGGTGGTATTACATTATTCGTAATAGTAGAGGTAATGCTCTTAAGGGTTAATAAAGAGAAATACTGCTTCCTTTTTTTTTTAAAAAAAAGATGTGTTCTACAGGGCTCTAGACATTCTGTAGGGTCTCCTAGAGGATGGGGCTTTTGCATAAACTTTTGCTTAAAGAACAGAATAAAATAAGGGTGCATCTCTGTAAAACATTCTAATGAAATGACCCATGTACCCATTTCACCTGTTACTCTAATACTCAGATACCAATAACTTACAGCTTGGTTCATCAAGGATTCCTCAGAGCCAGGTAAAGTCAGGATATGTCACCCCAAATTATGAGGACCAGAGGAATCTGCAAACAAATCTTATTCCATTAATTTCTTCCCATGTATTTACCTTCCTAGAGTTTGCCGCCCTTGGAAGCCTAAACCTCCTTTCCTTTGTCCTGTCACTTCTCTACCAATTTATTGTTCTTTGTCGAAGATGCTGTATAGATCGCAGTTCTAAGCTACTGCTTTGAGCCACTCTTCCTTTCAGGTTTCTCCTGGGTGATGTGCACTGCATGTGTTAGTTAATGAACTGTTTTTCTTTTGTTAATGTGTTATCTTCTTAGCGTCCCAGCTGACAACCTAAAATGGGTAGAGGTAAAGTGTTTCCTCCCCCCCATTAGTGCTCATTCAACTTGTATCCTCACTGCAGTAGGCAGGCAAAAAGTCAACTCTCGCCAAGGTTGCCAATTACCCTGGGGCTGGCCACCCCAAGGATTCAGCTGCCTACTTCTGATTCTGAACTTTTAGGGTTGGCCACTCTGGTAGGCCTTGTCCTCTCTAATATATCGGACACTGGGATTCTCAAATTAGAACCCCCAAAGGTCAAAGGTCTTTCCTTCATACAGAAACACACCAAGAACCAGGCGTTTTAAGATTTTTAACTAAAAAAGAAAAGAAAAATTGGTACTAATTTTACACAGCAATAATGTGTTTTTGTGTGAAGAAATACAAAATCATTTACTTAATATCACAAACCATCATACAGCTACAGCTTTTTTCTATTAGATGTTTTTCTCATGAAAGTTACATTTGAAATGTTGCATGTGCTATTACCTATTTCCTGAATTTTCTCTGCTTGAAATCTCAATGACCTTAGATAGGAATGCTACAATCTTATTTAAATATGATTGGAGTTAATTGTGCATTAAACTTGGGCAAGAAATATCTGATTTTGACCTAGTATTCTCACTGGGCATCAGAAACTACAGATTCTAGTTCCTTTGTGAATCACACGCATTCTTAACTTGTCACTTTGTATAGAGTGACTGTAGTTTCTCACAAGGGAAATTATAGCAGAAGTTTTTCTAATGTGTTTGGTTTTTTTAATGTGTTTTTTGTTTTTTGTAATAAAACCTAAACCTACAAATCTTTAAAAAGGATGGAAAAAGTTGGTGTTCTAGCTAACATTTATGTGGAAAAATAGGTTCTTCCCAGTACTCTTTGAACTGCACATGGGTATACAAAATGACTCTCCCAGCTAGGCCTTATCCTGTCATTCAAGAGGATTGAAGCTCTTTTCACAAGAGAAATAAACGTGGAAGGGAGATGTGAACTTTCCCTGCACTGGCGGGATTCTGTAATCCCTCTGTAATGATGGCTTGGGGGAAGAGCCCACACACTTTTTTGGGGCTACTCCAGCCTTTCTATCTGTAAATATTATATCACAAAACTAGGAATAGACAGTTAATGTGTCTAAATTTATGTAATAAAGAGCTGTATTATAATAAGGTTCTGTTGTACTAACATTTTTGTTTCTTCTTCAGCATCTTGTGTTTTGTTTCCGGGCCTGTTGTTAAACTGGTCTTGTCGCCAATAAAATACGCTAATTGTAATGTACCTCAGTTAATTCAAGAGAGTGAGTTTTGTAAAGTATACCTTCTTCTCAGATGTTGTTGGGTTAATTATTGATGGATTATAGAATTCACAGGGAAAAGTGTTACTGGAATGCAAGGAATCTTGAAATAACTGTGATGTAAATAAAATGTTCTCTATTAAAGCAACTGATTCTAGACAATTTAAAGGCTAGACCTAAGAAGCTTCTGGATGGCCAAAAAATAAGACCGTAACAAATCTTTCTGATAAGGAAAAGTAACATAATTAGAAATGAAACACTGGTTGAACGTCTAGTTTATGGATATATAAAATCAAACGCTCAGTCCCAAACACTACTTTTTGTGAAATCATTAGGTAGGAACAGGGCAGAAACTAGCGATTCTATTAACTGAAAAGGAAATTGGGGCACAGGAAGCTTTTAGGGTGTGCTGCGTCAGTCGCTCCTTTTGGCTGTGATCTGATTGCTCCAACATTCCTTGAAACTTCAAGTATAAATATCAATAATAGTGGAATTCCAGCGCTGGAAGATCATTTATTTCGACCTTCTCGTTTTACCAAAGAAGACACTGAAGCCCTTAAAGATTGAGTTACCCACCATTATTCAGAGAGAGAGGTTCGTAAACATCTCGGCTTCTAGAACTCTTGGGAACAATATATACAAGATAAATGTGACTGTCCAGTGGGCTCTAACATTTGCACCTTGTCTTTTATATTAATGACATTAAAATAAAATTCCCAGGGATGATCTACCGAGACTCCTGCGGCGTCGCGGCCCGCACTTTCCTCCCTTGCCTTTCTCCCAGTTCTACCCGGGCCTGTTCTTTCTGGGTCAAGGTTGGTTTCCTCCGAACCCCGGCCCTGGCTGCCATCTGGAACTGTGCGCAGCGCGTTTGGAAGAGCCTGATAGGAGGGGAGAGATGAAGTGTCGTTCGCATCAGTCAGTAAGGCCTTTTGCAAACAGCCCCCGGGCCCCCGCTCTGTGTCTGGGCAGCCGTCCTCTCTGCCCGAGGCTCTCCGTTTCCCACCCCACCTCAACCTCCCCGCGGGTTGCGGCTGCGGGGCCGCCTCGGCCGGGGGTGATGGTGCCCACGGGCCGGGCGGGGGGAACCTGACCTTGCTCCCCATTTGGTTCTCTGGAGCAAGGAGGGCACTGCGTGCGCCACACCGAGCCACGTCCCACGCAGCGATGGGCTGGGACGGTTGCGCCTCTAAACCGATGGCGAGCGGGGACCTGGGCGTGGAAGGGAGCGGCACCGCCCGGGCCTCGCCCTTCCTCCCCCTCCTCCTTGCTCGCCGCTCGCCTCTCCCCCAGCCATGACTCAGCGCTTCTCGCAGGCTGCCGGGCTGGGGACACGGGCTCCTCGCCGGCCCCTCCCGCCGCGTCCACCCCCTCTCTCCCACCCACGCCCGCCCTCGGCCGCCGGCCCTTCCCCAGCGCCGCCGCCGCCGCCGCCGCCACAGTCAGCTCGGGAGTCCCGGCAGCATCAGCCGCCCGACCCGGCCGGACCCGACCCCGCCGACCCCGCGCGCCGCCCGCCATGCAGCCCCAAGCCCCCGGCCGTCGACACACCCCCCAGCGCGGCTACGCCGTGACCCGGAGCCCCCATCTCAACAAGGTAAGCCCGCTGGCCCCCCCTCGGTCTCGGTCAAGGTCACGGGCAGGCCCCCCGGCGGCGCAGCAGACGCCGCTTAGCCCTTCCGCCCGCGCCCCCGGGATGCCGCCCCGCCGGAGCGCCCCCCGAGAGCCTGGGCGCGGGCCGAACGGAGGGGCCGCCCGTGGGGGTCGGTCCTCGGGAGCGTGATGGGAAGGGGTGTTGTGGCTCCGCGCCTGGGCATCTTGTTCGGGGAACGGAGGGGACGTAACTTGTTTCAGTACCGCTTGGCTTCTCCGAAAGCGGGAGCCGAGGCAAAGAAAGTAGTGGCAGCGAAGTGCGTGAGTGGAGTGTGCCTGTGAAGGTAGCAGGTGGGCTGCCAGCTCGGCCTCGATGTGCCACGCACGTACGGGGCGCACTCAGGGTGCCCATCACTGGAGGTTGCCGTGCAGCGAGGTGGCCCTACGGCCCCAGCTCGGCTAGAAACGCGTTCTGAGTGGGGTCACGTGAGCAACCGGAAAGTCAAGGCCTCTCTGTTTCTGGAGGGACGCAGTTGAGAGGCTGGGAATTCGTGGTGGGTGGCTTCTGCCTCGGGGGCCCTGGCGTGGCCCGGCGCAGAATCCCTGCCCCAGACGTGGGACTGTGGGTAAAGCCGTTCCTATGTCTTTGAACCTGGCCTTCTGGAAATTCTTTTTTTTAAGACTTCTCCTCTTTTTTTATGAAAAGGGGAATACAGTGCAAGAGACCCTTTTTCAGATCCTCCTAACATTTCATATTTCTTCACTGGTAATGTAAACACCTAAGATTTCTCTCAAATGAAAAACACCTCAGAGTGTATCAATTTGCCGACGAGATACTTAGCAGTCACATTTATTTTATCGCCAGGATTTGTCTCTGGATTGTTCCTTTGTTTAAGGGTGCCTTTTGACATTTCCTTTAGTACATGGAAAATGCCATCAGTTAGCACAGAGGCCTGTTGGGTCATTTGGGGCTCTCTACCAGACGCTTTTTTCCAACAAGAACTGGACCTCTGCGTCCCCCTCCCCCAACATGGTGCCGGTGATTTGTTAATCATTATTAATGGCTTGAAGACTTGTGACTTCTTTGATTTAACAAACTATAGCTCCTGTGAGTTCTTTTTGATTTTTGTGATGACAGGCAACTTTTACTTATCTATGATTATTCAGTATTTCTGGTCATAAAGCATTATGAAATTTTAAATATTTCCTACCTATATTTTCCTCAGTGATTTTAATTGCTAGTTTGGTTTTATACTTCCTTTTTATTATTCTGCAGGTTGGGGCCTATTTTCAGTAGGAAAAAAAGGGAAAATTTGATGTGACAAAACAATTTATGACTTTCAGGTGTACCTGCCTGCTGTAATTTATGACCAAATAATGGGTTGCCCCTTAAAAAGAACCATGTGAGTGGTATAACCTGTTTGAATTTCCTCCAGTCAGGGACCGGGGTGTCTTTTTCAAGGAGTTGATGGAATAGGCAATCCCTGAGCAAGAGTCATTATGCCTTTACTGTTTACATCAAGTAATAAGAGTCCTGTACCACAGTGTTCATTGCAGCACAATTTACAATAACCAGGACATGGAAGCAACCTAAGTGTCCATCATCGGATGAATGGATAAAGAAGATGTGGCACATATATACAATGGAATATTACTCAGCCATAAAAAGAAACGAAATCGAGTTATTTGTAGTGAGGTGGATGGACCTAGAATCTGTCATACGGAGTGAAGCAAGTCAGAAAGAGAAAAACAAATACTGTAGGCTAACGCGCGCGCGTGCGCGCGCACGCACACACACACACACACACACACACACACATGGAATAAAAAAAAAAAAGTTCTGCAGAACCTAGGGGCAAGGACAGGAATAAAGACACAGACACAGAGAATGGACTTGAGGACACGGGGAGGGGGAAGGGTAAGCTGGGACAAAGTGAGAGAGTGGCATGGACGTATGTACACTACCAAATGTAAAATAGATAGCTGGTGGGAAGCAGCTGCATGGCACAGGGAGATCAGCTGGGTGCTTTGCGACCACCTACAGGGGTGGGATAAGGAGTGTACGTATGCATATAGCTGATTCACTTTGTTATACAGCAGAAACTAACAACACTGTAAGGGAATTATACTCCAGTAAAGATGTTTAAAAAAGAGAAGAATTTATGCTCTTGAAATCCTTTTAATTCCTGTTCACGAGTAAGGGTTAATTTCCACTTAAGAATAATAATATCACAGAGATCTTCCACCAAAGGCATTAAGGTGTGGTATTTAATGTGTTAAGAACATGTGTTTTGACTTTGTAACTGAACTTTATTGTCTGCATAGTATCAAATTGGATTTAAAATCCAGGTGGCCAGCTTTGGAGTGATTAATGGAATAAGCTTTACTCTTCTTGTTCAGTCCTAAGACAGTTCCGTGGTACCTCATGGAAGTCACAGAACATCCTCATATGTACCACTGAAACTGTAGTTGTGGGATCTTCTTGATGGGCGCTGCTCTGAAGACCTCTGGGCCTTTAAGTTTTCCAGTAGCCCAGAAATTTTTCTTGAGTTTTGTGGTAACCTTGGCTGCAAAGAAACTCTAGTAGATCTTTCCCCCTATAACCCCCCGGCCTGTCACCTGGCTACACTAAGCCTTCTTCAGCCAGTGTCACACAGACCTTCATCACCTTACCTTTGGGTAACTGGCACAGTTTTCCTGGTTTTATTTTCAGTATTATAGTCTGCCCTACGTGTAGGTATGAAAGAAATATCTTCATCCATTAGCTTCTTGATCTTGCTCTTCTGTTATCCAAGTATTTTTAGTATTGATATTATTTCCTATTACATTGAATGTAAAATCAATCAGTTAGGTCTGCTGTCTTCTCCACATTTATCTCATTAGGTCCCCAATTTAGCCTTCCACTTAAAATATATTTGCTGAATATCTTACTTAGTCCTTGCCTTTTTGTCTCTGCGCATTTCCTACAATGAAAATGTCATTAGTTGATTGAATAATGATCTCTTTGGGGAAGACTTTCCTAATTATTTTAGTCCTATTAACATTACTTAACACCTCTGTTTTTTACGTATTCAGCTGTAACATGTCATTTGGTATTTGCTGCATTGTATTCTTATTTCATTTAGACGGCCATAGGAATCATAATCCTTAGTACAGAATTTTGCTCATTTAACATTAAATAAATGTTTATTTAATGGAGAAATGAGCCATGTTAAAACATTCTTTATTTTGGTCTTTCAAACAGAACTCAGCTTTTAAAGCAGGTAGCTTTTAAAGTGGTAGTTTGAGCGTTATTCTAAGACATTTCTCCTCTTTAATGTAATTTCTTGTAAGTAAATTCACATTGAAGTCTAAAGCTCAGTTGACTCCATATACCATTGTATTGTATAATGGCATATAGTCAGAAAAGGTGGAATTTGGTTTAAGCCTGACCATGCCATGAAATTTTAATTATTTGCTGGATAAGCTTTGGGAGGTGCTTAATCTTGGTACAAATTGAGGTAAACAGTAGATGTGATCTAAATTTAAAAATAAAGAATTTAAGGGAATTCCCTGGCAGTCCAGTGGTTAGGACTCTGTGCTTTCAGTGCCGAGAGCCCGGGTTCAGTCCCTTGTCCCTCGTCAGGGAACTAAGATCCCCCAAGCTGTGCAGCACAGCCAAAAATAATAATAATAATAATAATAAAATAAAGAATTTAAAAAACCTTAGAGAAATAGAATCTTTCTTCATTGGTAATAATTCATGTCTGGTTCTCACTGTTTGTATACTCAAGTGTACATCATTGCAGGTATGATTTCATCATAGCATTTGGAGAAGCATTTCTACCTCACACTTATGAGATTCAGTATCTTTCTGTTCACAGCCCAAATTCCTGTTTTTTTTTGTTGTTGTTGTTGGTACGCAGGCATCTCACCGCTGTGGCCTCTCCCGCCGCGGAGCACAGGCTCCGGACACGCAGGCCCAGAGGCCATGGCTTACGGGCCCAGCCGCTCCGTGGCATGTGGCATCCTCCCAGACCGGGGCACGAACCCGCGTCCCCTGCATCGGCAGGTGGACTTTCAACCACTGCGCCACCAGGGAAGCCCAGCTTATTAACTTTTAAATATGAGAAATGAGCTTCTGGGCAAGTGCTTTTGTAGATGTTTGTCTTGATATGTCGAGACCTAATGAGCTGAATGTGTGGTAGGGAAAAAAAGAAACAAGACTGATGACTATGAAGGAAAGTTACTTTAAACCCCCTCTTTTTCTTCAGTGTA